GGCTGGCAAAATAGTCCAACCACCCAGAAAATTCAGGCAAACAAGTTATGAAAGAAAATAAACTTTTCACACTTTTCCCTTAGTTATGCCCATAATTACTTAAAAGATTACTAAATTCCCTACAAAAGAAAAAAAAATCATCGCAATCGGACAATTTTTAGAAAATATACAGCTTACTGAAATTTGTATACATGTTAATTCCAAACAAAAATGAAGATTTGAATTAATTTTTGTTTGCTTTGTGGATGATATTTATCGATAAAGTAACATTTGGTGTCTTAATCTTTTGATAAGTTGCATTTTCTTATTTTCCTATTTATTTGGCATTTGATAACAATATGCTGTGCGAATTTTTCGCACGGGCCTACTAGTTTTAAAAAATTCTCTGTAAAGCTAAAAATACACCATGAAAAATTAAGAAAGAGCTTAAGAAAAGTTCTGGATTCGAAAAGGTCCCATTTAATTATTCAAAATAAAGTTGAATTTTCAGGGAAAACTTCACATACTGGATAACTTTTCCCAAATAAAGTCAGTTATTTTTAAGGTGGGAGGAAAGGGAGGTGCCATAGTCGTAAAACATCGAGCTTATAACATTTGTTTTTGAAAAGAAATTTTTTTTTAAATTATCATATCACTATAAAAATTATGTTCAGAACAAAGAGATAATCGAAATGTTCTTTTTTAGCATTATGTATTTTTTTAACTATAGGTAAAGTGAGGGTATAGTCTCATATAAAAGACACCCCTACCGATACACGATGTCTATAACTATAGAATAGTAAAGTTTGTAAATTAAATGAATTATAATACAATAAATAAAGTTTTAAAAAATAAATTAATAATTATAATAAAATAAAAACAATACAAAAAACTAAACAAAAATACGCTTTATTTATAAAAAAAATTTTATTTATATGTATGTAATATAAATAAAAATTATACATAATAGAGATCAGCTGAAGTATGGGTTTCAGTTTACGAAATGACATAGGAGTTCCTCTGTTGAAGCTACTGCACCATTAACTGTTGCTAACTGAGTATGATATTTGAAAGAAAGAAAGAAAAATAAATTTTATTTGGGAAAGCGTTTATCAATGAACTCGTCTATTGTTTCTATTTGAAGTTCACGATGACATTGGCTGTTTCTTACTATATCTCTCGTCATTATTATGTCTTCCTGCTGAGAAAAGACTGTTGTGTCATCAGCGAAGATAGTTATGAAGGTAAATGGAGACTGTAGATGCCATGCAGATAAAGGTTAAAGAGGATGGACGAAAGAATTGAACCTTGCGGAGTTCCGATATGAATTGGTCTTATGGTTGAATTTATATTACTTATTTTGAAGTAGAAATAGAAAATCATCTTTATTCTGGGACTAGGTCCCTCAAGAATAACAATATTGTTTAAACCAATTGATAATTGGTCATTAAACCAGATGACCTGTTATAATAAAGAGTAACTACAATCTGAGTAATAAAATCAGTATATAGTTTTGGAGGGTATATTAAGGAAAGCAGATAGGTACAAGAGTTACAATATTATAATATTGGTACAAAAAACAACAATATACTAATAACTAAATAAAATTGGAAAGAAATGCTAAATAAGTTTTATAGGTAACCAATTTTATTGCTACAATATAATAAAAAGAAAAAAAAAGAAAAATAAGAACAAAAGAAAATAACTAGAGTAAATGAATGATATATGTATGTTCCTTTAGACGTTTAAGTGAAGATATGTGAAGATATTGTGGAAAAGTATACAAGTATTGTGTTCTACCTATGACGCAATAGATTACGAGCAGAAAAAGAAAAAAACAAATACATCCATATATATACATACACACATAGAGAGGAGAGTGCAGAAGATAAGTAAAAAATAAAATAAACTTTTAAAAAAATACATTATTTTGACAAGGAATGTTCGATCATTGAGAAAGGAATATAGAGTATCGTATAGGTATTAACTTACTTATTAACTATATTATTATATTGTTTTATATATACTTACTTGAGTTTATACAGAAGACCTTGATGCAAGACCTTGTCAAATGCTTGTTGAAAATCAAAGAATGTAACCAGTGTTTTTTTATTCATTTCAAATCCGTTAACCTCAAATTATGAGAACCTTGATAGTTAATGCGAATGACTGAACTGAAAAGCAAATTTAATGTTAAAAATAATTTCAAGAGACTGAAAAAAGAAGAAAGGCTCTTTTTTATAACTGATTCTAACAGTTTTCTGAGGATCGGTATTAAGCTTTAAGGTCTATAATTGCTTGCTTCTTTAGTGGTTTTACCTGGCTTGTGGATAAGTACCAGTTCGGCTTTCTTCCATGAATTGGGAAGATAACCAATGCAACAGGATTTGAAATTTTAGGTGTTTAGTACAACAAATTTAGGTGTTAAGTACAACAAATTTAGGTGTTTAGTACAACATCTTTCCTAAGTATTTTTTAATAGAAATGTCTGAGATTAAACGATGACCAGGACTTTTTTTTGTTTTAAATATCCCAGTAAGTACATAAATTTAGGTATATACGCCATTGGTAGTAGAGCTGTTGAATGTTAATTAGTAATTCTCAGAACTCGTAATTGTCATTATTTCCTGTATAAGTCTCCGATTGTTATGTCTTAATTATAATCGGTGTTCAGATACAGTTTGGAATAAAATATTTTCTTATAAATTTTCTACGGTTTTCCGGTTTTAACTAGTTTTATATTGACGTTATAATTTATTACAATTGAGGGGACAAAGTGCACTCACATTCTCTTTCTCTACCTGTCCTTCAAATTATGACAAAAAATACAACTTAAAAATTGTAGTATCGTCTGAATTTTTCATATTAAATATCAGTTTTGGCGGCGACCTTAAAAAAATATAAACATGCACAAGTTAATTTCGCTCATTTAAAAAAGAAAATATAACCCAAAAACCATGATTTTAGAGTTAAATTCACAGGGACAATAGTTATCTGAACTTCTAATTAATATATTGTCCCAGGGATGCCCCCCCCCCCAAGGGGCATAACCCTTTCGCAATCCCTTCCAAAATATTTTGTTACTCTCCATTTCTTAAAAACGCAGAGGAGCAAAAGTGGTATTTAAAAAATCGTATGTTATATATAATTACAGTCCCATGCTTGCCCTTGTCTTTAGGTTTGAAGATTTTCATTTCGAATATTCATAATCCCTCGAAATGTGTCCCCCTCAAAAATTCCTAACGCCGTCAAAATGTACCCCCCTCAAAAATTTTGATGGTGCAACTTGCGCCATGGAATCTCCTTCTGGACCCCACAGTAATGTCCTTTCGAAAAATCGTGAATTTTGAGTTATAACCTTTCTGACGTAGATCAGCGATTTATTAACGATCAAGCAGAAACTGTAATTTTGAAATAAAAACTTGCACCAATATTTCAACATCATCAATGATAGTTCATTTCGATATTTATTTGTAAAGCCGATAAGAATTAAAATTATTCGATATATATCGGATTAATAATTCACTAGTATTATTAATTACTCTGTTTAAGGATTGGTCTATTTCCTAATAAAATCAAAACTGGCAAGGTTTACAGAAATTGATTCCTTTCAAAGTTTTTGTGGAACTTTATATTTTGTGTAAAAGTCAATTAAAGCATTTACACACTGAAAACTTATATGATTGTATATAAAAAAAATTGGATTAATTAATAAAATTATAATTCCATTATTAACAATTTACACATTAGGTCATATAACAAAGAGGAAAGTCCCGAACACGAATTCATTTTTCGTCCAAACATTTCTAAAACATAATATACTTTTAATTAAGATTATTTAAACATATAAGCAGGAACATAAGAGAGCTGTTTTCTGATCAAGAACTTAGAATATCTTTGTAAAATATGAATTTTAAATATTTTCTTAGAGAAACTCCTAATTTTAAAGGTATTGGTTTGGAAAATTTAGTTTCTGTAGGAATTATGGATAATAATACTTACAAAAGTTGATTGAGGCCTGGCCAAAGAAAACAGACGACTTTCAAATGAAATTTTAGTATTCAGTTGGTCTGCAGTTTAACTTGATAGTTTCTACTCTTTTTATGATACCTATAAATAAAACGCGCATATACATATTGAAACGCATCGTACTGTTGTAATGGTGATATAATGACAATTATTATCTCATCACATTATATAATAATAAACAAATATTTTAACTTACAGAGAATCTGAAGAAATAAGTATCAACAGGTGTTCAAGATTTTCTCAAAATGGACGAGAAAACTAGCCCGCCAACAGGCTTACCATAAGACATAAAATTAAAAATAAAAAGAATAAAATATATACATTTTTCTTTTAAAATGAATTTACGCTGTAAAAATATATTTTAGAAAATAAATTAATTAAAATTAAATCACATAGAGTATGTTCGTTGATTTTAAAAATGTATGTTTTGAAAATTAAATATGTTACTATGATGTTGGCTGAATAATTGTATTGCGCTCTACTATTTAAAATTATTTTTTTGCCTCTCCTGATTACATTTTTTTATTTTCTATGTACATATAAATGGATTTTATTTGTATATATTTTTTTCTGTATTGATGGAGGTAATCTTTTATTTTAAAGACTGAATGATAGTTCGGAAGCAACAAGGAGGAATCATAAAATAATTATGAAATATTTGTATTATTAAAATATTTCCAGTACTAGTGGATGGAGAAGAAAACTATGATTAAATGGAGTTTCCCCCAGAAGCGTAAAAACCCTTGAGTGTGGGAAGGTATAAATACAATAGAAGTGTAGCTACCCCCCCTCTAAGCGGCCAGTAATGGACCTGCCCAACTATCACAAGGTGGTGGGGTAGCCAAGAGTCGAATGGTGGGGACACAAACACGCTGATTTAGTCTTGAACCGTTTACAACATGTCCTCCGGTCAAAGCCTTTTTACGTTTATGAAACCACAACGGTAAAGACTCAGCGGCTCATGGAGGCATCTGTACAGAGAGATTAGTTTTATTTTTCTTTCGGTTCTATATTATGGAATTATCAATGGGAGACAGAGTGTATGCAGCGGAACGTATCATGAAAAAGAGGCTCAGAAGGGTAAGTGACACTAATTTCATTTTGACACCGATAAATATCCATTCTTTACAACTATTACTTTTTAAACATCCTAGTTTTTTTCATATTATTAGTGCCTAATCGTTTCTAACGGTATTTGGAAAATTTATATTCAGTGCGAGAAGTGTAAACATAACCTCAATTTGTAAACAGATTTAAACGCCACTACGTTTTCCATCTTTAATTTAAATGAAATAAATGTTTGTGTTTATGTTTTCGAATTGTTTAAAAACATGTTTAAATAATTGACGGGCCACTGTAACTATGAATCATGTACATGTAAAGCAGAAATCTGTTATACTTTTTCAAAATAAAACTTATTTAATTTTCCTTATCATAACGTATCATACCTTTATTTAAAACTGTCAATGTTTAAGTTAGTATACTATTTTTAAATAACTTTGCTTAGTACAAAAAATATATAATGAATATTCACATAAATTATATTAACATTATTTTTTGATTATTTAAGATTCATTTTTCTTTAGCAATTTATACATTATCATACCTTAACTGTACTATTTAATTATGCCATTTTGTTATGTCGATACTGTCATTATTTTATTTGATATCAAAATATTTTCTATCATATTTGCTGCGTAACCTCATTCCTTAGTTTATTTTCATGAGATGTTAAACTAAGTTGTTTTTATTTTTTTAGGGACGAGTCGAATACTTTGTGAAATGGAGAGGTTGGAGTCAGAGGTTTGTTAAGTTTTCTTTGATTAAAGATGATATTTAATGCTAAATATACTTATATATATCTCTAAATATAAATTGTTGATTTATTGCAAACAGTCACTAAGTAGCATTTTATAAAATTAACTTACCAGGTATTTTGATGAATTTTCTTTCTGTGAAATTTGAAAATTGTTGTACCCTTAGCATAACTGTTTTGATTATTAAAAGGGTAAGTGTCATTTTGATGCACTTACTGTGTTTTTGCATTGATAAATAAACTCAAAATTCACAAAAATATACTAAAATGTTTATCTCCATCATAAATATACTTAATAACTTTTTGCAATAAATAGACAAAATATTTTTTCACTGTCATTTGATTCAAAATTCCTTATTACAGACACAGTACTTGGGAACCTGAAGAAAATATTCTTGATGAACGTCTGATTGATATTTTTGAACAAAGGTATTGTATATCTTTATAAAACCTTTAGTCTAGCATTTAATTATGGTTATGAAAATTATTTGATAGGTAAGGATATAGTTTACAGGTAATTAAAAGAACTAATAATTCATGAAATTGTATAAATCCAAATTAATATCTAGTTATTTTTCTTTTGTGGTGCTTCAATCTGATGTGAGACTGGGCAATGATTAACAACTTGCTTCAAGCACCTCTTTTCTATAATGCTTATTATTAGTTATTATATGTATTAAATGTACTTATATTAATTGATCAGTTCATCTACCCTCGGTATTACTCGTGTGATAGATTTATCTCATGGTTTAATAATCAGTTGGTTATTAGTATATTATTTTGTAAAAAGAAGTTGGAGGGCGCTTGACTTAGGGAGTGGTGTAGTAGTGAGTTTTTTTTCGTTTTAAGTAAATCAAGATAATTTCTTTTCTTTTCTGTTTTTTTCAATTTTTCTGTTTATGATATTTTATCTTGTTTTATGATATTGGAAAATAGAAAATCTGGCTGTTCAATAAATTCCTCATTTATTTTAACCTATTTGAGAAATATCTAAAAAATAAAATGAATGTCCGATAATTATCTGTGATTCATCCTTATTGTGACATTAATTAAAATCAGCTACTGTGATGAGTGTCGATATAGGATGACTCAGTTTTATGTTATGACATGAAAATGTCTTAATCCTGATTTGAAAAAAGTGTTTTGTTAAGACCATTATTACTTCATCGGTTTGTTGTTTATAGTTTTTGAAATTAGAAATACAATTCGTATTATAAATATCAATTTAAAAAAGTATAGTATTACGAATTTTAAGTCTATTTTGCATCCAATTAAATAATATTAATCGGTTCAACTTCTGAAATTGGATTCAGTAGTAGTTTCCAAATTTGCAAACAGCAATTACCTTTGTTCTTGTCCTGTGCAGGAAAAAAATAAAAATAATGATGTTTATTGAGCTCAACACTACTAAATTACTTTATGGATTGAGCATGGGGTGTGTAATCCATTGAGAATTTATACTTTTTTTTTATTAATAAAGAGATGTTCTATGATATTTTATTACTTATTAATTCTTTGAGTGATTTAGTTGTTATTAAGTCCCCTTAGGGTCTGATCATTTATAAACAAAGCAATCTATATCATTGTTATTCTTCTTAAACTGATCTTTGGAAATATTTCAGCATCTAAATTAAAGTTTCTAGTAATCATTAATGGTCAAAATTTTATATTCTTCTTGAATTTGACATGATTGAAATATGAATCTATTTTTTCAGTACTTCATTTTAAACTTTCACTCACCTATATATTTCTATTTTACAGCCAGAGAAATGATATCAATCCGCATAAACGAGGGCCCAAGAAAAAAGAACATAAACAGGTATTTATTTCTAGGATTAATTAATGGCAGGTTACATTTATGAAAAATAGTCAGAATATGCAGCCAATAATCATGTTTATTGTACGTTGAATGATTATATTAAACTGTCCGTTCTTGTCTGGCCTTCAAATCATTGCCCTGATGATAACCCTCATGTTTGGACCAAAATGTTGGCAAACTTAATAATCATGACTATAGACTGCATATCTGGACTATTTTTTTTTCATTCTCACAATTCACACTGTCAACTATATATCTATATATATATTTTTTTTATATCTCAAGGCCCTTCAAGTTCAGTCACCACCACCCCCAGTCGAAAATGAGAAAGAAGTCGTTGAAGAAAACGTAGAAGAGCCAGCAAACCATGATGAACAACCGACAGAATCAAATATTCCTCTTGCAGAAGAACAACCTGGTAAGTTAATTTGAATTTAGTCAAAATAGCTATGTTTTAGGATTATTCTTTTTCACATAATAATAAAAAGTCTCTAATATCTCCACCATGTAGAGTGTGAGTAGTGGTTTCGGCATCGAATCTTCAGGTTACTGAAGCCTTTACAATAGTATATTGTAATAGTATAATGTAATATAATAATACAAATTATATTAGTATAATATAATAACAGTAATTACTATTAGCATATAATTATTGACTATATCCACTAAGCAATCAATTAGTCAGTCGTGTACTACTAAGTATCCCACCTAGGAATCTAGAATTCTTGTTTACTTCAAAAATAGCAAATTTTAGGATCAGGTCTTCATATCCTCCTCGAAATCTTTAAAACTTGCCTTGAACTTTCTCAATCTGCTGACATATTATTGTTCAAATGTTGATATCATACATTTTTTAAGGATCAAAATGTTTTATCACTTCTCTATCAGAAATTATCCATCTTGTTTGTCAAAATCCATTGCTTCTGAATAGAGGAAAATGTATCTATACCACTGTTTCATATATAAAGTAGATTATCATCTACAGTCTAAAATTTAACCATCTTTTCATTTTTGTGTTTTGTTATTTTCACCCATCTTCATGTAGAAAACAAAATTGTTTTTGACGTATGCGTAACTATTATTTTTCTAATCACATTGTCATTGTATTATATTTTTCAAGACTAATATTCTGTTTTGTTTTTTTTTCAATTAATTTAGCTTCAGAACAACATGTCACAGAGCCCGAGAAAGCAAATATTGATGAACAAGTAAAAGAAAAGGAAATGGATAACAAAAAAAGAGATGAGCGAAAGGAAGAGGCCGTTGAGGCTGAAGCACCAACCATCGAAGAAGAACCACCACCACCTCCTCTTCCTCCTCCTCCTCCTACACCCACACCTCCAAGACCTGCTGCTAAGAGGAAAGCGGAAGTACTGAGCAAAGAAAGCGGGAAGATCGGTGTTACCATCACCACCAGCTCACCTCCTTCGCATTCCACGCCCAAGCAACCACGGCTGTCTCCGAGTGTGGTGACGCCCAAGGTCGCTTCACCTACGCCTCAGCCGGTAATTAGTTCACCTTCATGTTTACACTTGCCATTCTATTACCGATTACTGTTAAGACTTCTTGAGATTATAGATGGACCATAATATATCACATAGCTTTATATTATATTAAACCTCCCAAAGATCTAGAAATTCTTAGTTGATAATAAAGTAATGCTTGATATTGTCGGCACCATGCTAAAGTAACGAATTGAAGCCTGTTTAATGTTACACATTCCTTACTTTAACATTGTGCTGACCATATGGTATAGAAATAACTCATAGGTTGCTAAAACTTAAGATATCAGTTTTGATTTATTGGAAATTCTGTGATAGAATGGTGTCATAAAGCCTCTGTAAGCAAAACCAGAGCTCTGCTCAGTAAATTCCCTCTCTTGTTGGCATGTGGTAGGGAGCAACCTCTAGGTCAAGCTGTCTTGGGTTAACTAAAAGGACCACAAGATTCACTTGCTGGACCAGTTCCCTCCACCAGTACCAGTATCATTGCCTTACAACTGTTCCCTCGATCACCTAACACCATTGCATTGCGCATAGAAATAGTTGCGTTAGGTCTAAGTACAGACTTGCAAAGCTAGGAACAAGATCCATATCCCTGATTTAACCAGGTTATGAGATCCTGTTTAAAAAGAGCTTGATCTTCAGTTTAAGGTATATAGAAGATATACACTCTTGGTTAACTGTTGTACCGATAGAGCAAGATTCAGGGGCTGGAGAAAGGAAAAGCCCTATTATACAAGTTAAATGCTGACTTCCTTCAAAATTTGAATTTTTTAAAATTAAATTTATTTTTTTACAGGTTTCCTCTCCTCCTAAGATTAGTACCGCTAAGAGTCCTAGAAGAGAAGAACCTCCACCACCAGCACCTGTGGCTAAATCGGTGTTACCTCCATCCCCTACCAGCGCCAGGAGTATCAAGTCACCCCCTCCAGTAGCGACACCCTCACTTCCACCCGCTACAACTCCAGTTCCGGAAGTCAAGCAACCTCCTAGCAATAATAACAATGTTAACAAGGTAAAAATATTTGTTTGATATCTACAGTTTTATTTTTATTTTAAATGGGAACATCTTGAGGTCATATTATTGTTTTAAGTGTAAAAATTATTCTATTGAGATTTTGTCCACCTAAAAATGACAATTTTTACTTAATTACATTCTCATTAGAAAGAAGAGACTAGGATCCTTGGGTTCCCATTTCAAAATGGTTTGAGTTTAATTCTTATCTGAGTCAGTTAATATTTATTTTGCGTTGGGTTCACGAAATCGAATCTTGTGATATTGCCACTCAATCTCTATTAGTGGTGAAGGATTAGATAGAAAATCTGAGGAACTCAATTCCATGACTAGTTCTTTATAATACCAATCCTGATCTATTTAATCTTAGTACTTTTCTCCCCTTTATCAGCAACATTTTTTCATTAATTTGTATTTTTAATTATAATATTATTATATGTTAATAATTATTATTACTATAGGAGGTGACACCTGCTACTCCAGTCCGAGAGACAAAGCCGCCTATTTTGAATGGTCACACCAATGATTTAACCACTACAGTGCTCACTAATCCTGGCCCAGATTATTGGCGATCTCTCAACCCGCATGCGGACGATATTGTCATCACGGACGTAACGGTCAACCTGAGCACTGTCACCATTCGGGAATGCAGGACGGGAAAGGGATTCTTCAGGGAACGCATTAAATAATTAGTCATGATGATATCGTAAGAGTGAGCTTGTAGTGCCTATCATATGGCTCACTCTTCAAATAGATAATTTTATTCAGTATTGTATCAGTCGTCTAAGGAAACTCTTTTCATTTTTTTATTTTTATTTTATTTCATTTTAATATATGAATATAAGTAGATGTGATAACAACATTTAATCGTGTTTTTTTTTTCACTGATTGTACATAAATAATCAGCATTTATTGATATTTTGGCTAGTGTTTTGAAAAATCTTTTTAATTTTATTGGCGTAAGAAATTGATCGAAAATAAGTACACTATATTGAAAATTAACTGAATGGATTGAAATTTCTCGCTAAGAATTATCGCATTAATAATTTGCAATTTTAAACCATTAGATAATTGAAGTTATCCTGTTTTTTCTGAATACCAGCTATTTATTACTTTGCAGTATTTTTTTATTAAGTGCTATCCTAAATTGGTAGCTGTTATAGCATTTAGTCCTGTGTCATAAATTTTCATCCTTTTTATTGCAACTGATTTTATTAAAATAACAAAGTAGTAGTATAATAAAAGATTTGCTTAACTTTTCTGACAATAATAAAATCATAGACTACCGATTGATCTGACAATAAAATTTAAAAAGTTGAAACAAAATAATAATTCCTTGATTTTTTAGTTTCAAATTATATTATTGTCCCATGTTGCAAAGTTGACTTCTTATAATTAAAATTGAAAATATAAAATAAGTTTTATGCATATAACAAATCATTCCGTCCGTTAAAGATCAAGGATTGTTATGAATAAGCTATAACAAGGATAGGTTTCAAGGGACTAAAAGCTACTAGGTAGTTCGATGTATTAACAAATAATTTGTGTTAACACAGATTTATTTTGATTATGGAAAGTTAAATCATCGGTGTTCTGAAAAGAAGCTGAATTCAACAGATTGCCTGTTTTATTTTTAGATTAACCACATTAATAGAAACTGTACTGGTAAAAACAGCATATCGTTCAATTTTCATATTTATATATCCCTTAATAATGGCAGGAACAACATTAATTTCTTAAATTTCTTGTCAAATATGCTCTCCTTAAAAGTAATGAATTGTTGGATTCTCCTTTTTACAGAACACAGATAAAAATTTCTAAAATATGTAATTTTTACTCTGATAATTAATTTGTTATAATTTAATCATAAAATAAATTGTATTTATTTGGTGTTTTCTATATATTTAAGTTGTAAAATGGTACCAAATGTTATCACATCCTTTTATATTCTTGTCCATTTGGAATTTTTGTAATATATTAAATAATCATGTATCATAATTAATTATTAGTAATTTTATACTCAAGATACTTAATTTTTTTTTCAGTATTTTTATGGGCCTAAGGAATATTATAGCAATCATATTTATTGTATATTACAGGTTAATTGCAATATTAATTATCATCATCATTAATTATAAATAGTTTAAACAAAGATGTTTAGGTCCGGTGATTACTTTGCATAGTGAATTTTAACTATGATGTGATTTGCTGGCAAATATACTGATTCCAAATTTTATTTTCCTAAGGATGTTCAACGCATCGTGTAAATTTGTTTTTATATTTGTATATAATGATTGTTATTTTTAGGGTTAACCCTACATTTATTTTTATATGCAGGAGTTTTTGTGTGTTAGGAATATGAATCTAATGACGTAAAAATATTCAAAATAAATATAAATGAATTGTTATAATATGAACCTGTAATTATTAAAATGAAAATTTAAAAAAAAAATATTCATTTCACACAGTAAAAATTGTTATCTAATCAAATGAAATACTGATTTTTTTAATTTTATTTATATTTAGTTGTTTTAATCTATTCTAAGATTTGCTGGCAATTTTCAACTTAAATTGTCATTTGTTTATCATTTTAAATTCCAAGTAGGCTTCAAATTTTCATTTTTCACTTGAAACGGTCAGTTTTTACAACGAAAAGAAATGTTTTTCCCATTTCGCAAAAACATTTTTATCATGCACAGAATAGTTTTAAAGCATTTCGTAATGCATAGCTCTATTCTTTGATTTTGTTAGTACTTAGACAATCATGTGAAAAATTAATCAATCCTGAAACATATTTATTACATAGAGGAATGTTATATTATTATTTATGCATATGCAAAATTTAAAACATCACAATTTAAGCTCAAAATTGCCTGCAAACAATGAAATATTAGGTGGATACAAAAGTGGCGTCTACTAACAAAAAGTTAACAACTCCATTTCAATTTTTTTTTTTTAAATAATTTATTGCATGGATAAAATAAATATTTTGCTAAAAAGTTTATTTACAGTATAAAAAACAGAGCTAAAATGAGGAAAAACTGACATTTGAAATTTATTCTATAATTGAAGAACTTTTTTTTTAATTTTTGTTAGCAAAATTTTAGAATTTTGAGTTGATCCTTTTTGTAAGTAGACGCCTCCAATATGTGTTGATTGAATGTTTTAATAGTTTCAAAATATTATATTTTCAAAGTTAAATATTTTTCAACAATATTTAATTAATTGCTTAAGTTTGTCATGGTTATGTTTTCTACAATAATGCACAGCAATATTTATTTCATTTTTTTCCTTAAAGGTTAATTTCTATAAAATTCAAAATTAATTTTACTTATTTTGAAACAATTATCTTAGCATTATATTTAAATTTAAATTGAATTTTTAATTGTTTGTTATCCATTTTTATTTATTAATTTTTTTCTATTGTTCTTTTTAATTGATTTGGTATGTTGTATTTTATTGACTGCATTTTATAACAAATATAAAAAGTATTTGTTTATATGTAATTAATTAACTTGCTGATTTCACAATTTTATTGAATATTGATTGTCAAAATTAAATTGGTACAAAGTATGTGATGAGTATGCTAACTTAAGTTTTTTCTAAAAAGTGATGAAATATTTTATGACTAAATTTGCTGTATTGTTGAATTTTTGTTATAAATTTCATAAATTTTAAGAAATGTATAGATAACGATTTTCATTATTAGCTAAATGATAGAATGTGAATACATTATTACCAAATTGTAGAAATGTTTGTACATATTGAAATAAATTACTTTTTAAATAATCTATTGTGTAATTACTGTAACATGTAATTTTTGAAGTCTTTCTTTAGTTTTTATATTGTTTTGTTTATTTCTTTTTTTAATTGGAACTTATTATTTATAGTTTTTACAGGGTATAGGTTTTTATTTTTTGGTTTTGACATTGGGTAATTTATCAGTAATTTTTTTACATAGCTTTGTTTAAATTCCTGTACCGCTTTTCAAAAATATAAATTTTATTATTTTTTGGCATGAATAATTTTATTACAAGCCTTTAATAAATATATTCTAAAATATAATTATCTAAATATCTAATAAAAATTTTTAAAATGTTTTGGTTCATTTACTTCCATGAATCTTCACCTAGTTCTAAAGCATTGTTTCCATGGTGATAGTGACTGCAACCATGGCTATCAAGATATCTATATAAAGAAAATAAAGGTTTTGTCCGTACATTGAATAGAATCAACTCGTTTCATGATATCTTTCCATTCCATACATTACAGACACCAAATCCACTTTTTAAAAAAATGTCAGCCTGTATGTCCGCATAGTCCAACGAATTTTCGTCAGGGGTAAGCTCAGCAATGGCTTATTGTAGACTTGAAATTTTAACAACATATTAAGATTTGCTTGACTTAAAAAACATAGGCTTTAAATGAAAACAAAATATCGAGTAGAACCAAAGTTATGGATTCTTGAATAATTTGTCTAGAGGTCCTGGTTAAACAGTTACTTCGATTCTCATCCCAACCTACTATACTGTGAGCCACATTCCTAAACGAGCCTTTAATTTAGTATCAGGTAGGCATAGCTAGCTGCACTGATTTATGTAAGTTAATATTGTTAAAGAAAATAAAAAAGTCATCTGTGTGTTAAGAGAATACTACTAACAAAAAAATCTGGTGCGCACATCACATGACTTTCACTTAGCACCCTCTTCTTAGTACGAATAAGTATTTTCAGACAAAGGGGAAGTGAAAATAAAAAATGCTATATTTATTTACATTTTATTGTGGGTATTTTTATTTGTTTAATTATCCTTATATATACAAATTTTAATTTTTATATATCGCTGCAATCAATACAATTAAATATTAAATAATGCCAATGATAGAATTTATGAAAACCACTCATGTAACATATGGAAGTAGTATAAAAAATAGTTAAATATAAAGAAGAGAAGAATGATTGGGGTAATCAGTCAGAAATAAGAAGGCAAAAATAAATTATAATATTTATTTTGACATTTGCCGATGTTTCGACGTGAAGTCCAGGCCTTGACTTGACTTTTATAAAAAACTCGATTTTCTATCTAACTATTCTATTTGCTATATCTTAATTTTACTATTTATTTTTATTTCTTATATAACTTTATATTCCTTTTTTTCTGTTTTACATTTTATTCTAAGATTCCCATTTTAATACTTTGTCACCTTTTTTGATTATGTTTACTTCATCATTCCACACTTTGTAACGGTTATTATTATTTATCTCTTAGTTCTTACTGTTGTCATTATTCTACCCACTTATATTACTTTAATTTTTTTACCTGCATTATTCACGTTTCTCATACCTTGTTATCTGGTTCTTTTCTTAGCCCTGATGAAGGCCTGAACTTCAGGTCGAAACATCGGCAAATGTCAAAATAAATAATATCATTTATTTTTGCCTTCTTATTTCTGACTGATCACCCCAACCATTCTTCTCTTCTTTATATTTAACTGTTTTTTATATCAAAGATTAATGTGAAATCGTTAATTATTTCAAATAAAAAAGATTAAAGGTACTTTAGAGAAAGCCAATGTTGAAAATAAGCCATTTAAGTTCTGTTAGAGAACATCGATGAGAGTAAAATCTACAGTATATTAAAAACTGTTTAATAACACATTGACATACTGAGTTTAATCAAAATCGTTAGAGCTGTTTTTTAGAAAATCATAAAAATGTGTTAAATTGATTACATTTAGTCCCACTTCTGGTTAGCCAATTTTGCAGAAAAACATGCTGTAACAATCAAGTATGCTGTAGGTACACATCTTAAATATGCAATTTCACTTTCATACGACTTTTTGTCTTTAATTCCATATATACACACAGACCATTTTGTGAGATTTGGTTATTTATAATCAGGAGACCTCAAAACATGTTGAAAACTCAGATTCGAAAATTTTCATGATCGCAATACTCACCCTTACTATGTGTTTCACATATAGGTAAATGAAAATAAAAAATGCATTCTTGCTCATCTCTTGGAAGAAAACTGGAAAAACTAAATGATGCACTTTCAGAACTTTTTTAAAACATGATCTAACAATGACATTTTTCATATTGGACTAAAATATCTCAAAATTTAAATACCATGGAGAATTCAGAAACCAATCTGTGGAAGTCAATATACATAAGTTTTTTAATTAGCCATAAAAATATGAAATTATGTTTCTATCCAATTTTCTTTTGCACTCGACAGTTTTGTAATCAAAAGTATTACCAATAACACATTTAAAAAAACAGTTTATGAGCAACTATAATTGTATATATTTTAAATGTTATTACTTTGTGAATATATAACAAAAAAAAGTTATATTTCATATCGTTAATCCTGCCTAAAAACAAGGATGACTGCCAGGAATAGGTGCTGTTTTGCAATGCGAAAAATATTGAATTACAGATCTCTTTCTCACAGAACAAAGATCACAGTGTATGAGAAAGTCATCAGACCCGTCGTCACCTATGGCTCTGAGACTTGGGTGATCTCCAAAGCATCGGAAAAAAGGCTACTCGCATGGGAGAGAAGGGTTCTCCGCAGGATCTATGGCCCGGTGTGCGAACAGGGACAATGGAGAATTCACACTAATAAAGAACTATATGAAAAGTATGCAAGGCCGGATTTGGTCTCAATTGTGAGAGGAAACCAGATCAGATGGTTGGGCAATGTGGCGCGTATATCCAAAGACGCGATTCCCAAACGCTTGCTGGAGGATCGGCCTGCTGGAAAACGTGGAAGGGAAAGACCACGCCTGAGAGGGCTGGATCAGGTAGAGGACAGCCTGAAAAGGATGGGAATTAG